GAGTGACTTCCCAGCACCACTCAGGCCCACCCTGTTTTTTGAAAGAAGCGAGGAGGCCTACCCACCTCAGAATCCTGGCGAGAAATTCCCTATCAAGCTGAGTAGCTCTCCTCTCCTTTTTCTTCTCTTGCTCCTGGTTGTTGAACCTTTTACTCAACAAGGTCTGGGCTGCTCACCTCTTCTTCCTGTCCCCTTTGAGTCCCAGATGACACAGACGTCAGTGGCATCAGGCTTGAATGAGGGTAGGAGAGAGCCATATACCTCACTTCCAACCCACTGTGTCCTTCATGTCCGGCCAGCTGCACACAGCCTCAGAAGCCCGAGTTCCAAGTGACCTAAGACAGGGACTGTGAAGGGATAGGCTGGGGGTTTGGAGGCCAGTGAGGTGAAAAATATGAGTACTGGTAAAATGCTCTGGACTAGAACACAGAAAAGTTGAAATTCTTTCCTCCCCATCGAAAACCCTGAAGCAGTTACAGAGGAGGGAGATGAGAGGGCCCTTCAAAGTCGTCCCAAATAAGCAAATCTAAAGTGGTGTGCTCGCTGTGCAAATACGGCTTCAAGAAACGTTCCCTGGCACTCCCTTCACTCTGGATTGTCACCTCTGCCTGGAATTTAATCCTGGAACCTCCACATTGCTCTGTGGGGTCACAGAAACAGCAAAGGAGGCATACTGGGACAACTCGTAAGTCACACCAGTGGTCACATCATCGATTCTTAGCTAAAAACCAGTCCCCTTTACAGTCAGACAAGGAAATTTAGGTTAACTTTAGTCTGGAGGAAGAAAAGGGAAAAATGTATCTTCCTCTTGCCTTCTCTTTTAACAAATATTTATTGGATACCATAATCTGATGTATTTTTAAACACTGTACCTAGCCACAGATTGAAGACTCTGTGTTTTCAGAGTCTGGGGTTTCTTTTATCTCTAGGCAAAAATCTCTATATTTCTCCGGAATTCCTGGGCAGTCCAGTGGTTAGGACTCAGAGCTTTCACTGCCAGCAGACCCAGGTTCAATCCCCGGTGGAGGAAAACTAAGATCTTGCAAGCCACGGCCAAAAAAAAAGGAGTTAAAAATTTTCAGAGAGCAGTAAGGGGAAGATTGGGTGGAGATGAGAGATGAATCAGCCCTCTGACAACCCCAGGACGATATAGCTGTCTGCTGCCCCCACAGACATTCCTGGCTCCTGACTCAGTGGGTAGGTGAGGCTAGGGGGGTTTGTGAGAGGAGGGGGATTTATCCCTGCAGAATCCTGCTTTCCTCAACCCTGCGCCTCCTACACACAGCAGGGCTGGGGGTGAAGACCCTAAGAACAGGGTGAAGAATTGAAAAGGAGCAGAAGATGTAACCAGGTTAAGGAAATCTTAACTTGATGAACAAGCCAGGAAATTGGTCCACTACCCATTTTTTTCTCATTTAAAACAACTCCTTTCTGTCGGGCCCTGGGGTGGCTTTAGATTAAGTAGAGTAAGAAGCCTCTTGATTCTTAGAAAGTCCAAGATAGGAGCAGGACAACATAGCATAAGGTGTTTCTTTTCAAATGTATTTTTAACTCATGAAACTCCCAATATACAAAAAAGGCATATGTGTGGCTATTTTAGCCAAAGTGTGGGGAAACTGGGGAACCCCTGACCACTGGGCCCCTGCCCTGTGGCAGCTCCTGGGGAAACCTCTGAACAAAGTTTGAAAACAGCTGTTGTGGTTTAAAGATCATGAGCCTTGGAGCTGAACCTGTTCTACTCCCCGAGCACGTAAGTCATGTGTAACCTTGATTATTAGGTTATTTAGCTGCTCTGAGCTTCAGTCTCTTCATAAACAAAACAAAGGAGGTAATATGTAAGGATTAAGGTATGAAACTGCCTGGCATATAGCAGTCATACTGTGTGCTCTTACAGCTGTATTCTGTACCCTAGGAAGAAGCAGGAATAGGGACTTTTGGTCAGAAGAGCAATCTTGGTGCAAGCATCTGAAATTAAGTTTTTCCACAAAGGCACTGGACACTTGGGCAGTATGTAAGTTTGTGTGTGAATCTCTTGCCTTTCTGCCTTTTTGGAAGGAGCCACAGTAGCCCGCCTGACCCCAATGCCTTGACCTTCCTAGGGTGCCTATTTAGTCCTGATAAAGTACCTTAACCCCTACACCTTGCTTCCCATCACCTACTCCTGTGGATTGACAGAGCCAATTTGAACTTTACTCTCTAAAGTAACTACATGTAAGACAGAGAAGAGTAGATACCTTCTCAAGAAATCTTAGGTTGCAAATTTTCCCCATACAAGGCAAATTCTTGGCAGAGGAAGATCTTTGTAAACCCTGGGTCTCTGTTTCCTGGGGGATTATCCAGCAATGCAGAAAGGGTAGGACTCTGTTTACTTGACTCTTGGTGAGCCCAATCTCTATCTATACAGCCTCGCTTTATCCCAGAACTAGTTGTATTTCCATTTCCACAATAGAGGACCTGGTACTAACCTGGTTTCCAGGCATTTGGAAGGACGATTTTTAAACTAAGTTTTGAAAAAAAAATAAAACTAAGGTTTGAACTCCTTCCAGTACACAAAACCTTGCTGGAGACACTGTGGGAAGAAAGGAAGAGTAATGGGACAACGTTACCATTTTAAGGGAGCTCTCTGGGGAGTTAAAAAAATAAACCCAGGACATAATTGCAAAGCTACAGGTAGAACCAAATAGATAGGAAACCATGGCTGAATAAATATACCTAAGAAGTGAAAAGAGTTGATAGACTAGGTAGCATATCCAACGCTCGGTATGTGTTAAAGGGAAAGGAATGGTGGCTAGTCATTTTTTGACCTGAAGATGGCTCTGAAATTTGGAAAAGTTTAGAAGAAAGTGCTCAAGTGGAGAGGACGATGGGAAAAGAAGAGTGGCCATCATGAAATTTCCATTGGAACTTTGCATTCTTACCAACTTTGCCTCTGGGACTGTTTTTTTTTTTTTTTTTAATTGAGCATAATTCACAGATCATAAAATTTACTACAAAGTTCACAGTTCAGTGTTGTTTTTTTTCCCCATATATTCACAAAATTGTGTGACCATCATGTTGCATGTTCAGTCACTCAGTCTTTTCTGACTCCTTGCTACCCCATGGACTGTAGCCTGCCAGACTCCTCTGTCCGTGGAGTTTCCCAGGCAAGAACAGTGGAATGGGTTGCCATTTCCTACTCCATCACCACTATTTAAATCCAAGAAGATTTTATCACCCTAAGAGAAATTTCATACCCACCAGCAGCAGAACTGAAAAAAATAATTTTAAAAAAAATTTTACTGAAGTACAGTTGATATTCAGTGTTGGGTTGTATAGAACTGAAAAATTTTAAATGTCAAATTTAGGCCAGGAAAAGATGACCAGAAATGCTCACTGAGGCCCCACCCTGAGTAACCTTAAGAAAGTTTTAGATAGAAAGTTCTGGGACCCAATTCAGAAGCTGGTGCCTAAGGCAGCTCACAGCTAGCTGTCTGATTTGGTGCTATTCCAAACCATAGCATCTGCTTTTAAAATCTGTCAACACCAACACGCTACCTTAGAGGGCAACCATGGGTGGTGTAAAGGGAGTAGGCAAAAGCCAAATGCTGAGAGAAAAGAATTTGCTTTCCCAGGACCTACCTCATTAAGAGAAAGTCACCAGACCTGTCTGGTAAGAGAAACCAGGTCACTTCCAAAGCTAAGAGGAAGTCACCTGCTCTTTCCCAGAGTCTTTGACCTGTTTGAAACCTTAACACCTGATACCCCTCTGAAAAGAGAAAACAAGGGACCCAGAAAGCATCTGAGTGGTCCTGCCAGCTTCCCCTGAAGAATTAGTAGTTCTGATAAGAGCTTTTTAGTCCATGAGTGTGATCAAACTTGGACTCCGGGGAACCTGATGAGGCTGGACTCAGTTCCCCCAATATTATCAGGTGAAAGACTGACCACTTGATGTCAGGCCAGTATTCTCAGGTGATGCAATGATTAGGCAGGTTGACTTTGGCAATAAAGCTGCTTCTCAGGACTGGGCCTGATTATTCTGCTTTTGGCACAGAAATGCTAGATAAATCCTGGACTACTGATACTGGAAGGATTAATAATAGGTAACACGTATTAAATATGATGGGCTACTTTACATACATTTATTTTTCTCAAACTTCACAGCAACTTTTAAGAGGAAGGTACTGTTTTTTAATTCTCACTTCACAAATGAGGACAAAAGGTAAGCATGGTTAAGAACCCTGGCCAAAGCGGCTTGGAGTCAAACTAAAAAGCCATTAGTTCAAGCCCCTTATGATACAGAAGGAGAAACTAAGGCCCGAGGGGGTTAATGACTTTTCCAAGGTTGGTGGCTCAGTCGGTAAAGAATCCGCCTGTAAATGCGGGAGACCTGGGTTACATCCCCGGGTTGGGAAAATCCTCTGGAGGAGGACATGGCAACCCACTCCGAGAATCCCCATGGCTAGAGGAACCTGGCAGGCCGCAGTCCATGGGGTCGCAGAGTCGGGCACGACTGAGCGACCAAGCACATAGCACAAGGTTGCAAAGCCAGTGAGGGTCGTATCCAAGCCTCCTGGCCACCAGGTCAGGGCTTCCTGGGCTCCAGAGTGCGATGGAGACACCTTAGTGGCCTTTTTCCAGCCCATATTGCCAGCCAGGCCAGGCCCAGGCACCGCCGGTTGAGCGGATGACTCAGAGGGCGGGGACTGCTTTTCCCGCACCACCCCGCCCCGTCCCGCTGCTCTGAGGATGTAGAGCTCTCGGGTCGGGCGGGTGGCAACTCGTCCGAGTGAAACCGGGAAAGCTCCGCCCCTGGCACTCAGCGGGTGGCGGGGGCCTCTTCCCCCGGCTGCGCGTCCGGGCGCTTGCAGGACCGGGCTGGCGATGGGAAGACGCGCCCAGCGCGTTCCGCCGCTCCTTCTCCTATTGGTCAGTCTGGCCCTGGGGGCGGTACCCTGGGCAGATCCTTCCCGTGATTGGGTGACATCAGCCTAGGGCCCGCCTCTGGCCTCAGGCTGTGAAGGCGGGGTGTCACTAGGCGGCAGCAGGCCAAGGAGCGTCGCTGCTGCCAGCTGAGGTACGGAGGCGGTGGGCTTGGCCCGCCACGGCCGAACCCGCTCCCGGCGGCCCTTCCCACTCAAGTTGTGCCTCTTCGTCAATGGCCCGTTTTATTTTGTCCCCATCTCCGAATGCTGGAAGGCGGTCTTCTCCTCAGACCTGAGCTTTAATGGCGGCGTCATACTAGGCCCCTGGTGATACTTCCCTCCGCTCAGATCTGATGGGACTCTTCCCCGCTTTCAGGTCTGAGGTGCTGAGTGCCGCTCACTGCAGCATACCCCTCCGACTTCACACCTGAGACTGTCCCCTCACACCTGAGCGCTTCAACCTCCCACCCCGCGTTCCTGGCAGAGGAGTCTCCAAGCCGCCTTTGCGCTGCTCACCCGACCCTCCTGGGATCGGACCAGTTTGAGGGGACCAGACCAGACCCTGATGGAGAGAGCTGGATCCCCAGCCTCTCTCCTGGCTCCAGAGTCTTGCTTGCAGGTCACTGAGCCAGTCCCGTGAAGGTCAGGGTCTCTGTAACTGACACACCAATCCCTGTCCCGCCCTTCCGCAATAACTGAAAAAGACAGACGGAGTGTCACAGGGCAACTTTATTGAGAGGAAACATGGTCACACCCAGCAGACATGCTTTCCCTCTCATCCTGGGTCTTGGTTGCTGCACACACACACACACACACACACACAGGCACACACACACACTCTTTCATCACCAACCTCTGCCACACAGTTCAGTTTTCAGCTCCAAAGATGGGACACTCCTCAATTCCTAAGATCCATAGGTAGCTGGGGCAGGAGGGGGTTGGAGTGGGGAGGAAATGGTCAGGTTCGGGGTGGGGGTCGGTCTGGGGTGGGGGTCGGGGGTGGAGACAGAGAGCAGGGCTGGATGGGATGACCAGTGGCCAGGAGCACCTGACGGCTGCAGGAAGCGTGGAATCCTCTGGCTTCAGGGGGCCTCGGCTCCATTGGTTCCTCTCTACGGAGCCTTTCTGAGCCGGGCCAGAGCGTTTTGGGGAGAAGGGTCGGGCCTCCCACCCCATACAAGTCCTCTCTGCCGGGAGTGGGGGACTGGAGCGGGCAGGGCAGGGCAGGGCACGCAGCAGGCGCGGCTCAGCTCTGGGGCTCCTCGGGAGCCTCGCCCCCTTCTTCCCCGGCGTTGTCGGCCGTCCACAGCGTCAGGTTGTCTCGCAACAGCTGCATGATGAGAGTGCTGTCTTTGTAGGAGTCCTCGCTGAGGGTGTGCAGGTCGGCCATGGCCTCGTCGAAGGTGGTCTTGGCCAGCGAGATGGCCTCCTCGGGGCTGTTGGCGATCTCATAGTGGAAGACGGAAAAGTTCAGGGCCAGGCCCAGGCGGATGGGGTTGGTGGGCGGCATCTCCTTCTTGCTGATGTCCATGGCCTCCTGGTAGGCCGACCGGGCTGAGTCGATGATGCGCTTCTTGTCGTCGCCAGTGGCCACTTCAGCCAGGTAGCGGTAGTAGTCGCCCTTCATTTTCAGGTAGAAGACCCGACTTTCGGCGTCACCGGCCTCCTTGATGAGGTGGGTGTCCAGCAAGCCCAGCACTGTGTCGCACACGCCCCGGAGCTCCGTCTCCACCTTCTCCCGGTACTCTTGCACCTCCGGGCCCTTCTCTTCCGAGCTTTCTTCATTGCTCTTTTGCTCGATACTGGACAGGACCCTCCACGCCGCCCGCTGGCCACCCACCACGTTCTTGTAGGCCACTGAGAGCAGGTTGCGCTCTTCGCAGGATAGCTCCTCACCCTTTTCCACGGCGCTCTTCATGAAAGCTGCCATGTCTTCATAGCGTTCGGCCTGCTCGGCCAACTTGGCCTTCTGGATCAGACTGGCTCTCTCCATGGCTCTGGGGACAGGCAGACAGGCAGGCGGCGGGCTAACTGGCTGCCTCGGAACCAAGGCCGGGTTCTGTGCCTCTCCTGCTCTCTGCCCGCCTTTTGGCTGGAAGGCCAGGCCCAGAGAAGGGTGGGAGGGGCAGAGGGCGGGGCTAGGGCCCTGGACCTGCCTCCCTCTCCTCTTCGCCCCCACACCCTTTCCGGCTCTTCCTTAAAGGTAAAAGGGCTGGGATGGGGAGGGTAGGGGAGCGGGGGCCGGGGGTGAGTCATCCGGACTGTCAGCGGGAGAGATTTGGGCGTTGGCCTCACCTGCACCGACACCTTTCCAAGCCCCAGGCTGCCCCCTCTGGTTCAGGGCTTCTATTACATGCCTACTGTAGGTAGCTGTCCCAGTTTCTCAAATCAGATCCTCCTTCACCGTGTTCTTCCAGGGGTTGAGGATGGCTTCAACTACCTGGTCGCTATGGGTCTAGGCGCCCGTAAAGCCAGGTGCAAGTCGATGGGGTTCCCAGCCCTGCCAGGTATGTTTCCCCCATTGGTTCAGGTGAGATAACTGTTTATAGATAGGGCGGTAAGTTTCCTAAGTGCCTTCATACCCATGATCTAACTTATTCTAACCTGCTATGTCTATGTGAAATGGGCAGGTCTATGACTACTACTCCCACTGTAGAGATGGGAACACTAAGGCTCAGACAGAGATGAGAATTGCTCAGAGTCACACAGCTACTAAATTTGGCTTTGCTCCCATCAAGTCTTTTGACCTTTGAGTTCCAGACTATTTAAAAGTGACACGCAGGCTTCTTCCGAGTCTGCCTGAAATGTTCTACCCCCCACCCCTCACTTCTTCTCAGGGTCCTGTCCCCTCTGAGCTCCCAGAATGCACAAGTGGCAGCTTTCAGGGTGCCACTTAATGAGGTGTTTAACGAGCGGCCTCTGACGCTGTGGCCCAGCCTTTGTAATTAGTCACCCAGTAGGTTTTTTGGATACCTTCCCCATCACAGCACAATTTTCCCTTTCAAGTTGGTGGCCTGTTGCCACTTGTCTGAGGACTTACCCTCTGGCTGTCCACACCAGGTGACCTGCCCCCTCTGTCTGCCTTCATGTGTCAGTGGGGCACACAGAGGGTGGGTACCCAGTTCACTGGGTGTTCCACTTTCCTGTCTAACTCAGCCCCGCCCTCTGTCAGAGGCAGGGATGCAGGCCACCTGGGTGCCCTGCCCAGCTGGGTACCAGGAGGGGGGGAAATGCTAGCAACTGGGGTGAAAGACAGGACCAAGAAGATGGAGGTGGCTGTAACACATGTCATTTTGTTTTATGGGGCAGCAGTCCCAGCTGAGTGCTGCCTTCCCCTCCCCCTCCCAGCTGAGTGAGCCTGCCTCTCAGAAGTTTCCCTGCCCCTTCCCTCTGACCACGGCCCCACTTCTGATTCCTGGCAGAAGCCTCAGAGATGGAGACTTCTCTGCTGCCAATCTTCTGTCCCTGTTCACTGAGACCCTGTCTCCATGTCAGTTGAAATTTTCACCTAAAGGTGTTGGCATTGCACCTAGGAGGGTGGGTTCCTGCTTCTCTGCTCTGCCTCTAGCCAAAGCTCAGATGGGGCTTGGGGCAGGGCTTCTCTCTCTGGGATCCAGCCAGTTTAATGCTTGAACCAGGACTATTTCACCAGCCTGTCCCTCCCCAGTTCCTCTTGGTGTCTGAACACCCACCCTCTCCTCCTGGAGGGAGGCTTAGGCCAGAACTCTGAGGGCCAGAGATGAGATCTGCTTCTTATGAAGGAAAAGTAGAGACGTGTCTGAGCTGATGCCATGTTTTCCAAGGAAGCAAGCAGAAGGGATTTTAGGCTTGCCATCCTGAAGGCTTTGCCTAAATCAGCTCACTGACACAGAAAACAATGAAAAAGAAACATATCAGAATACCAATTTACAGTGTATGTTTAGGTAGTAGGATTCTAAGTGGGTTTTTCTTTTTCCTTTGATTTTCCTAGTATCTTCAGGTTATCAATGGTGAATGTGTTATTATTTTTCTATGACAGAACAGCCTACAATCTTGGAATCAGACTGCCTGGGTTCAGTTCTTACAAGCTGCTGTGGCTTTGGGTAAGTGACTTGGCCTTTATGAGCCTCAATTTTCCTGAATAAAAATGGGGCTTATTGTGAGGATTAAATGAGTTGATGGAAAGCACTTAGCAGAGTGGATGGTAACTATTAATATCATGGGAAAAGAAAACCGAACCTTATTATTATAAACATGCACACTCGAAGCATTCATATGGAGCGGGTTTCTATGAAATAAGGAAGGGCCCCAAACCAAGTCTCAACCAAAGGCCAGACCCTGCCCAACTGGAGAGACGAATGAATGGTCAGAGGCAGTCTGACAGCACTACCTCCACCCTCTCCAGCTCACACATTTCTCTGGCCTCCACAGGTCTTGGGCCCTCGAGGACCTTCCCTGGTACTAGTCATCCAGCCCGGGCTTTCCCAGGTCCTGGAGGAAAGCTGGAGATTCCAGAACATTAGAAACCCGGAGGGCAGGGCCTGGTAGGCCTAGGAATTTTGCAGATGTTTCTGTCTCAAGGCAGGAAGACTTCTCTTCCTACCACTCATGCCAGAGACCTGGTGGTGGTTCACACCACAAGCTCCATGCCCTCAGCATAGTGCTGGGCAGGGGAAAGGAAGCCTTGTCACTCCTTCCCCTCCCCTGCTGAAGCTCAGGGGTGAATTTGGGAGCCAGGCTACCTAACACCTCCTGCCCGCTCTGGCCTGTCAGTCCTGACTCAGTTCCTGTCTCAGGCACCTCCCTTTGCCTCCAGGCCTCCCTTTCCCAAGTCCAGAGCCCAGGCAGACAGGAGGCAGCAGGCCCTGACAGGGCATGGAGTTCCACTGTCAGCCGCCTGAGTCAGCAGGGCAGGAGTGGGGTCTGCAGCTCAAAGGGGCTTTCCTCATCCCACCTGCTACCTCCCCACCCTCCCATAGAGCATCCTTCCTACCAGCAGGATCAAAGCCTCTCATCCCACAGACAACCACTCCTTCTTAACTGGTAATAACAGGCTTTGAAGGGTTGTGGCATAGAGAAGGCACCAACCAGTTGCTATCTACCTCCACTGAGAACAAGGACAGGGCTCTGATTGCAGCAGGAGGGATGCTGGTTAGACTTCAGAGTGAACTTCCTAGGAAATTTTTTTCAGTCTTGGAATAATCAAATTAGTCAGGTAACTAGAGGAAACTAAAGTGAAAGAAAGTGAAAGTGAAGTTGCTCAGTCGTGTCTGACTCTTTGAGACCCCATGGACTATAGCCTGCCAGGCTCCTCTGTCCATGGGATTCTCCAGGCAAGAATACTGGAGCGGGTTGCCATTTCCTTCTCCAAAGGATCTTCCCGACCCAGGGGATTGAACCAGGGTCTCCCGCATTGTAGGCAGATGCTTTAGAGGAAACTAAGGGCTTCCCTTATAGCTCAGTCAGTAAAGAATCTGCCTGCAATGCAGGAGACCTGGGTTCGATTCTTGGGTCAGGAAGATCCCTGGAGAAGGAAATGACAACCCAGTCCAGTATTCTTGCCTGAAGAATCCCATGGACAGAGGAGCCTGACAGGCTATAGTCCATGGGGTCGCAAGAGTTGGACACGACTTAGCCACTAGAGAGACAGAGAGGAAACTATGGTGCCTTCTCCCATGGTTAGTTGTGAACAAGAGTTCAGTTATTCAGCTAAGAGCTCACTCCACTAGTTGGCTGTCTTTGGGCGAGATATTAGATCACTTTTAAATGACTCAGCTATCTGAGTCTTTTTTCCTCAAGGCACTGCTGTTTAGAGTACCCTACTACGTCTCCTCAGCCATTCCAGTTTAGGACACAGTGTGGAATTACTGGAAAGAGAATGGAATGAAAAAAAAGAGAGAGAATGGAATGAGGTCTGGGTGTGGAACTGCATCCCAGCTCCATTATAAGGCCTTGGGCACGTCCCTTCCTGTCTTTTGGCCTCAGTTTCCCCATCAGTTCACGGAGGCCAACACAGATCATCACTCAGCCCCTGCTAGCTCTGAATGACATTCTCTGATATTAAGGTTTCTTCTCTGAGATCCCCTCCTTCCACAGCAGCCATCTTCATCCTTGGGTGGTACAGAAAAGTCTGAGATTGGGGGAGACATGAGCAGGTGCAGATCTTGGATTTATCAGCTGCGAGACACTGGGCAATTCCTAAAAAGGCTGTCATCGCCTTCTTCACAGGTTTAGGCGAGAGAATGGGTCAGTGCATGTGTTCTGATGTGGGGTGTCAGCTGGGAAAAGGCAAGAATCCATTAATACCCTGGGCTGGGCTCAGTTCAGGGTGTGACAGCCCCAGACTGGAGTTAAACCCGCTGCCCCGGCCTGGACTGGGACCTCTCCAAGTTCAGAGGTCAGCTAAGACTTGAAGGTCTCTGGAACTGAGATCAGGAGTTCTAGAGGGGCAGAGTGAAGACAACCCTAGCCGCTCTGCCTGTGTCCCCTCTGGCTTCATTGCGCCTCTTTTTAAAAATCTCTAGAATGGCTCTGACCAGCTGACTAGGCAGGCATTGAGGATAAGCCAGATGTTCTCCTGCAGATTCATTACAGGCCCCAGCCCTGGACCCCAAATAAAGGTGGTACCAGACACTCAAAGGTATGGCAAGAAGAGGGAGATCTTTATTTTGGTTAAAAAAGGTACAGGACAGTAGACCAGCAGCCCTGCCCCCACCCTGCCATGGGCTCAGCAGATTCCCGAGGCCCGCCTGGTTGCCTTCAGTTCCTCTGAAGAGCTCGGGATGGTCAGCACTACCCTCGGAGCCTGAAGCAAAGGGGGACAGCGTCCTCCTTGCATCCTACCCGCTGGGTGGGGGGACACAGGGGGGGGGCCGTGGGAACAGTGTCAAACCAGCTGTGCTCAGAACAGTCACCAAACTTGTTCAGCAGCGTCATCAACACCCCAGACGGCTCCTGAAGAAACCTGCTCAGCTAGACTAGAGCTCTGCCTGGTCCTGGGGGTGGGCAGGCTGTAAGGCAAGATTCCTAGAGTCTTGACTCCTGACAGATCTGGGGAAGGGGAAGGAAGGTGGAGGGGAGGGCGAGTTTCAGCAGAGTCTGACATCATTGTGCTGACAGCTGCTTTCTGACCTTCTACACTCTGGCCGCGTGGAGTGGGAGCGGGGGCAGAGAGGCCAAGCCCTGCCTCCTCTGCGGGGGGAGGGGGGCGCCCTAGAGAGGATACATGTGGGGCAGGCTTGGGGGCAGACCCTGTAGGCACAGACGGTGGCAGACGGCCACGGGTTAGGCAGGTGGAGGTGCCGGGGGCCTGGCTCCCCCCAGGCCGCTCCTGGAGAGGCAGAGAGCAGCGGTCCTCAGGAGGTCCTTAAGCCCCCGCACACACTGGAGATCCCAGGCAGGACAGCACAGGAGGAGAAGAGAGAGGGTTAGCACGATGGGGAGGCGCGAGGAGGCTGGCGGGGAGCGGGGGCGCGGGGGGCGGCCCCAGCACCTGTGTCTTCCCCACAGAAGCGCCGAGGCTCAGGCAGCAGGCAACCAAGCAGGAGAGAAAACGGGCAGGTGAGAGAAAAAGCTCAGCAGGACAGAAAGCCAGGACACAGAGTTAGTGACCGAGGGCCCCTGCGCACCAGGACGCCGCGAGAGCAGGCCCCAGCGCCTCAGGGCAGGTGCGCCATCCTCTCCCAACCTCGCCCTTCACCTCCAGCTCCAGCTGGAGAGCTGCTCTGCGTGAAGCCACTTCCTCCATCCAGGGTGGGGCCGGCTCTAGCCCTGCGCCCACGCCCCGGCCCTTCTGCTGATGGGGGGGAGTCCTGAGGGCCCTACCACCGCCAGCACACACACTGCACCACACACCAGACAGATGAATGGGCCCCGTGGGGGCGGCGAGGCATGCGATGAGGATGGTATGGTGTGTGAGGGGAGCGGGCAGTGCTGCTGGCCGACGGGGGAGATACAGTCTTACCAGCTAACCCTCTGCAAAGAGGCCTGTTAGCTCCCCTCAGGCTGTGCAGGAGATGGCAAAATCCTGACAGGTGTCCTCCTGGGGGAGATACCAGAGAGGTGGGCCAGGGTTACGAGCTGTCTGGTGGGGCCCTGCTGCCCAGGCCGGGGTGGGGGGCCAGGGAGGCTCTGGCTCTCAAACTGCAATCTACTTCTTTACAAACATTTTCTTAGCTAAGCAGTCACTGGAGGTCAGAGTGGAAAGACAGAAAAGAAAGAACTTACGGGTCGCAAGTCCCCAGGGCCGGGGAAAGTAGAGGGGATGGAGAGGGGACAGGATGGCCTTTTCTTCCCTGCCTGCGGGAGCCTAGCTACAGCCCTCTGTGCCTGGCCTCCAGCAAACAGACCCCAGCCAGGAGAGAATTTTAGCTGGATCACTGGGCTGCCTGCCCTATTTCTGTCTCCCCAGGCATCACCAACTCGATGGACGTGAGTCTGAGTAAGCTCCAGGAGCTGGTGATGAACAGGGAAGCCTGGCGTGCTGCGGTCCATGGGGTCGCAAAGAGTCGGACACGACTGAGCTACTGAACTGAACTGAAGAGGAAAGACCATGTTTGGCTGAAAGAATAGAGGGCTACCAGTTGGGGCCTCAGCAAAGAAAGAGCAAACAAAAACCAAACCAAAGCAAATGAATTCTTAAAAACAAAAATTTTATTACAAGCAGGAACAAAGAATACTGGCTTAAATAAAAGGCAGGTAGCAGTCCCTCCTCTAGCCAGCTTCCTCCCCACCCCTCACTCGCACTTCAGCAAGGAGGGCCCAGGGTCCTGAGGCTGGGGCGAAGTGGTTTCTCCCAGAGGGGACTCCTGGTGGCTGCGACTTCTCAGCTGCCTGTGACCCACCAGCCTCTGCAGCAAGGAAGGACAAGGTGCGGGGACTTCCTATGTCCTTTTCAGCCCTCTTAGAGGGCCAAGGAGGGGGAAGAAGGGACAATTTCCTATCTATTTTGACAAGAAACTATCGCTCCCAGGAGAAGAGAGCCATCCTCTAAGTTTCTGGCCCAGATTTAGGCCAACCTTCACTCATTTCAGCCCACCTTGGTCCTTCCTGGAGGGAGGCCCTCAGTTGGCCATGCTCTAGCCCCTGGCACTGGGTCCCATACTCAAGATCCCGGAGGAGGGGGTGTGGCAAGGCAGCCACTCCCCACAGCCATTACCCCATCCACCAGACCAGGCCCCAGCTTGTCTGGGCAGGTCCCAGCTGGAAACCTGACCTGGGGGCTGGGTGGCCCAGGTCCCAGCCACTGTTTGAGGTCCTTGGAGGAGGGCAAGAAGGATGGGCTGGACTGCAGCAGGAGCCCAGGGGTCTCCTGTGACCAACGCACACACCCCCTGTCCCCATGGCTCAGGCTGCTCCTGCTGCTGCCACCACCAGCTGGCACCCAAGGGTGATGGCGGAGAGTGAGGCAACCCAGGGGGTGCGGGAGGCAGTCACATTCATACCAGAGCACACACACGCACGCACACACACACTCACAGCCAGAAGGTCTCTTGTAATAAACTTATTAAAACCAAGGTGCCTTCTGATAACCTTTTACCTGGCACTACATAGATAGCAATGTGGCTGACTTTTTTTTTTCTCCCATAAAAAAATGCTATGTAGAAAAAAGGTCTATAAAATTGTGCAAAATACCCAGCATTAATAAACCCGTTTCAAGTATTGCCAGCATGAGTAAAACCTGCCCATCCCCAGACCTGACCTGGGAGAGAGGTGGGGTGGAGGGGCCAGGCTGGGCCCTTGGAGAACCCTCCGTGGGCAGAGTGGGGCAAGGCGCCCCCTTCCTAGTCTGCTGCCCAGGAATCATGCAGGAGCTGAGGTCTCGGGTGCCTGGCTGGCTGATTTGGCTTCCTCTGACGCAGGCTGCTCCCCCCACTCACCCCCAACTCTGCCCTCTCTACCTGGAGCCCCAGTTCTAGTCTACTGGCCGACTCCATACGAAAACAAAAACGGAAGAACGAACGATGGCTATCCCAGAAGGAAGGGGCCCAGACGCCCAAGCAGCCCCCAGAGGCATCCTCTCTGACCGTCTGTTATCCAGAGCCTACTCCTCCTGGGTCCGGCTTCACCCCTCGGACCCCGGCTCAGCAGGGCCCAGCAGCTGCCCTACCCAGGAGGCGTCACACTCAGTCTGCAGCCTCACACACAGGGCACAGCTGGGCAGAGGCTTGGCGTGGTCCGCTGGGCGGCCTCAGGGGCCCTGGCCTCTCTCCTGTCACTCCTGCCACTGACCAGCTGGGGGAATTTAGGGCCCCCGGCCGTGTAAACCTGGTCTGGGGAGCAGAGGGTACAGCCATGGCACAGTGTGGGGAAAGCCACGCAGGGTGGGAAATAAATACGAAAAGACTCAAGCAGTCTTGGGCGGCTCTGCTTCCCTTCGGGTGGAATGGGGAGGAGGTCCTGGCAGGTGTGGAGGGTGGCAGGTGAGTGCGGAGGGGCAGACAGGCCAGCAGGTGGCAAGTACTGAGCCCGGTTCATGGGTGGCTTCCTACCATGCTGGCATCGGGCTTGGCTCCGCAGGCTGGCTCGTCGCTTCTGATGGGCGAGGGCAACACAGTGTCGGACTGCACAAATCCCCTCCGGTCAATCAGGCTTCCAAAAGACAAGGAGGGGGACACGTGAGGGCCCTGCCTGACACCACAGCTCTAGGCCAGGGAATGGATGGCTGGGTCCATCTCCCAGACGAGGCAAGACCCAGCCCTAGAAAGGCTGCTCAAGTTGGCGGCTCGAGACCCTTCCTTTCTGGAAGGGTCCTCTCCCTACTCTGGATACCTGGCTTTGAGCCACAGAACTTATCCACCATTAATTCAGACTGTCTGGCTTTGTCGGGCTCCCAAGCTGCAGGTGAGAAGAGCAAGGATGAAAGGGCATTGGGAGATCCTGCAATTCCTACTGTCCTTTCCCCAGGGGCAGGATGGGTGACAGGCATATCAGATATTGGGCAGGAGGAGGAGGGGAAGGTGTGGGGAAATCTTACCCCACCCCCACCCCGCCCCCACGGCATCCAACTGAACTCCCGATCCGGACATCTGGCGCCCCCTGGTGTCCGGACAGATGGGGCGTTTCCCCGCAGAGCTGAGCCACCAGGAGGAAGACAAGGCTCCACCCAGTCCAGCCATCAGCAGCGGATGGCAGTCCCTCAAGGTAGACATAACATTCATTGTGGTTATCCCTGGGGAGTAAGATTACATGTGATACCTAACACTCTTTCTAATGTTTTGTACTTAATTTTTTCTACAATGAGCACACAGGAGTACAAATTACAACTTTACAGAGTTCCTTTCTGTGACAAGTGCCCTGAATGCATACAGCAGAGGATGACAGACGGACGGCATCTTTGGTGTGGGGAGGTCAGTGATTCCAGAACCTCTTTGAGAGGAGTAGACTCACCCCCACCCCCAACACTGGCCAGGCCAGGCCCTGTGACCTCCCCCACGCACCCCCTGGCTTACCTGGGAGGCAGAGGGCCACAGAGCACGGCACAGCAGTTGGTGATGACACTTTTATGGCTGTAGGGGTTGACAGAGGCCTCGCCACCCCTCTTGTTGGACCACGAGCCTTTGATCTGCAAGCAGGCAAGAGCTCTGGGTCAGGTACCTCCCTTCATTTCCCCTGTTCTAGAGGCTGGGGAAGACCAGCAAATTCTGAAACCAATTCTGGCTAGCCTACTGGAGGGAATGTGCCTATACCCTTTAGTCATTCCATGAGAATATGGGGGACTGCTGGGTGTTGGGGGGCACCCAGAAGAGGAGGCTCTGACCAAGACAGAAGTCAGAGCAGAGCCAAAGAGAAGCCTGCAGAGGAAGCTTTTAGCGGGCATCTTCTCTTGCCAGCCACCTAGGAAGGAGGATAGTGCAAGGGCCCAGGGCTCAGGCTGACATGGCTGTGAACTCCGGTTCTCCCACAGACTTGCTTGTGACCTCGGACAGAGCACCGCTTCTGAGTCTCAGTTCTCATTTGAAGAACAGGGAACTCCAGCAATCCTGTCGAAGCATGAGATGAAACCTTGCCCCTCTCTAGCTCCGTGGAGCCGGCTGTCAAAAGCACTGAGATCAACAGGGAAGGAGACCGGCTTGACTTTACCGTAGAGTTTTCCAAGTGTATCTGGCCATGACACGCTTTTTTGCTTAACCCCTAGTGATATCCTGCAGAAACAGCCCCCAGGAAATCACCTTGGGAGAAGCTGGCTGATGTCATTTCTGCTCTGTAAGAATCACCCAGCATGTGATACCCTGTCATGCTTGTTCAGTTCCTTTCTCCAAATGACAGGCTGAGGTCAAGGAACATATTTTCTGTTGGTCCACGGGCTTCTGAGCAATACTAGATGCTGGCCCTGGGACAGATGCTCTCATTTGCTTTTTTGTTGTTTGGAAGGATGGGAGGGGAGGGGTCAGGTCCAGCCCAGGGCTCAGCATATAGTGGGCACTCCAACAGACAAGGTTTGTTGGTAGAGATCTACAAGGCAGCAAGTGGAGTGGGGAGGCTGATGGAGCTTCACGCTTCTGTCTTAACCGCCCCCCTCACTAAGGATGCCTCAGAGAGCCCCAGGACTCCCTGAGAACAGTGGAATTGCTGCTGTCTACAAGGACAGCATGGTGGGCCTGAGCTTCCAAGTGCAACCCGGGCTCTATCCCTTTCCAGCTGGTGACCTGGGGCAAGTCATTCAGCCATCAAATGAAGAAAAAGCATCTCTGTTCCTTCTGCCTCAGAGGCAAAAGGACCCAAAGAGATGATGGAAACTGAAAGAACCCTGGAAATGGTAATGAGCCGGCCAAATGTAAGGACAGCAATGGGGTCAGTGCTGCTCTGCTGGGGTTAGGGAGAAAGCAACCTCGGGGGCCTGCCCAGGGTCCCCCAGAGCCCAGCCCTGAGCTCTGAAAGGAGATGCTGGGCTGCCTTGCCTCCCTGCCCACATCTGCCCAGAAGTTTGGGGGTCACGGCTGCACTGTGGCTGCCCCAGGCTCCCTCAGCCCTGCCCCCAGCCCAGGGGTAAGCTGCTGCTCCAGCCTTTACTCACGTCTTCATTAGTTGTCAGGTTGGAGGCGACGAGGTAAGTGTGAAACCCTGAGAGGCCCAGGATGGACCAGATGGAGAAGAAGCAGATCACCAACTCCAGCACAGTGAGCGGCGCAGTCAAGGACCCACACGGGGACCGGGGCTGGGAGCCTCCCTCACCAGCCTCTCTCACCCATCCCTCTGTGCAGCTACTCCCCCAGAAGGGAGGTAAGTTTGTAACCAGCCATCTCAGCAGATCCCCTCCTGGGCCACAAGGAGGGTTCAGATGCCCCCAGAGGGCAGGACAAGCCCAGGGTAATGGATGGAAGAGAGAACTGAGGGTTTCAAACACCAGAGTCACAGACACGGCACAGTCCAGAGAGCTGGGTGTCTTAGGGGTCTGTGCTCTTGGGAGTTCTTGGCAATTCTGGCCCCATAACAGCCCATTCAGAATGGGCTGTAGCCTGGGGGTGAACAGGAGCAGCTGGCACGCTGGATTCCAGAGGACAAACATCAGCTCTAACCCATTGCCCTCTGTTTACAGGACATGGTGCGGGGACCCGCCTCAGGAAAGGGGCCTTGGGTCCCACCAGGACTCCCCCTTGCTGACAAAAGGATATCTCGCTGGTGTCTCCTTCAGAGTGGAGAGGAAGTTGCTTCCCTGAGAGCCTGGGGAGGAAGAGACAGGAGAGGGCACAGCTCAAGGGATGGTGACCACGGCCCCTTGAGCTGGTTGAGCTGGCCCCCGGCCCTCCCGCTCAGCCCTGCCCCACGCCCACCGTCACCCCTAACTCACGCAGCGTCAGGTGGGTGACCACACAGGCGAAGATGAAGGCCGTCAGGAATGAGAGGGAGAGAATGAATGCATAGAAGAAGCGGTAGTTCCGTTTCCCCACACAGTTGCCCACCCAGGGGCAGTGATGGTCAAACCGTTCTGGAAGGGCCAGGGAGGCAGGTCAGCGCCGGGTGTTTAGACGCCTCTCGCCACAGCTGGGTGACCCCACCCCCTCGCTCTGTCCACATGCAACTCTCAGTTCCTCGACATTCCTGGCCTCTGGTCCTTCACCCACCGGTTCCTCTGTGTCGTTGCTGCAAGGCCACATCCTTGAGAAAGTTCTCCTTCAACCTCAGAGGAGGGTGAGGCCCCTGTTATTTGTCCCATTGCCCTGGCACTTGTCCTTTGCAGCACTTTGCCTACATGGGTTTATATATTTATTTATAATTAACAGGTTGGCTTGTAACCCATTCCCAAGTGGCATAGTGGTAAAGAATCGCCTGCCAATCGGGGCTCGATCTCTGGGTCAGGAAGATCCCCTGGAGCAGGAACTGGCAACCCACAGTATTCTTGCCTCGAAAATTCCATGGACAGAGGAGCCTGGTGGGCTACAGATCATGGGGTCACAAGGAGTCAGATGCGACTGAACACAGTAAGCACAACTATAACCCCTGCTCCACTGTGAGCGCCATGCAAGGGCCTGGGCTGAACCCCAGGGCCTGGCAGAGTCTGGTATGAAGAAGACCCACAGAAAGGACTTGGCACCTACGATCCTGGCCCCTTGGCAACAACCAATGACCCGTTCCCAAGCTCTAGAATAGAGGGCCAGGGAGGGGCGGGCCTGCTAGGTAACTTGTGGAGAACCGGCATTGGAGGCCTAGTCAGAAGGCTGAGCTCACACCAGCACTGTGTCCCAGGGGTGGGGTCACGCCCAGGCAGGTGAAGAAAGTCCCCTGTGGGAATGTGGGTCACAAGCCTGATGCAGGCCTGCACCGGGCCAGCGCCCTTCACAGAGGGTGGGTGGGGCAGATTCTCAGGGAGGAGTGACACCCACTGAGTCACCCACTTCACGGCCTGCCGTCCGGGTGCTCCCCACGGCTCCCCGGTGAGGGAGTGCTGAGTTAGCGTCATGAGCTCACCGCCCTAGGGACTGTGCACAGTCACCATGGCTCAGCTCACCTGGGTCCTCTCGCATAGCCTCTCCCTTACAACACCCTCCCAGAGGCACAGCCTGGGCCCCAGTCAGAGCTGCTGGGCCTCCAGAGAGCAGCGAGAGGGGACGAGAAAGCCTCTGGCTCCCCAACAACCATGGCAGTCGTGGGTCAGGAGCTTAGCTTCCAATCCCAGCTCCGCCCTCTCCACCTCACTGGCATGAACTCCTCAATTCCCAGATTTTTGTCAGTCCAAACCCCGGGACTTTCAGCAGAGCTGGCCCTGGGCCACATGTCTAGAATGTCATGGTCCAGACTCTGGACCCTGGACCCGCTGAGGACCAGGCCAACAGCTGGGAGGAGGGTTCAGGTGTCTCTATGTCCACTTCAGAGCTGGGGGAGGAATCCCCCCTTCCCGGGCCGAAGCCGTGATACCACTGGTCACATTCAGGGCCCCTCCCCGCAGCCCCTCCTCAGTCAGAGCCAATCTGAGGGAACCAGATTTCCTGCCCAGACGCCCCCACCCGCCCACAAGCGACTCCCGATCTCCAGGGCTCCATCCCTCTCAGGACTGCCTGCGCCCCCCTCTCTGCTGCCTCCCACTTACCCACACAGTTGTCGCAGACACTGCAGTGTGAGGTCCGGGGCGGCCGAAACATCTTGCAGGTGAAGCAGTACTTCAGCTTCACCACCTGCCCGTTGATCATCACCTCCCGGGTCCGTGGGGGCGGCCGGTACGTGGAACTGCCTGTGTTGTCTGAGAAGAGGGAGAGACAGATGCAGGATGGCCAAGCCCTGTCCAGGGGGAGGGGGAAGCCAGTGCTGCCCGGCCAGGACGAGAGAAGCTTCAGGGAAGCTGCTTTGGGGGGACAAACATTAGGGCAAGATGGCTGCCAAGGGCATCAAGAGCTGTGACCACCCACCGAGACGTGCTGCATGCCAAGTGCTGTGGAGAAGCTTCACTCGCCCGCTCACGTGCCACTTCAGGGAGGGCTTTCAGAGAGGGCGACCTGGGAAGGCTTGGTGAGCTTTATCTACATCTAAACATCTTAGTGAGCTTTACTTGCATCCTTAGAGTCTGACCCACCAGGGACTGTAAAGAATCCACCTGCGATGCAGGAGACTGGGGTTCAACCCCTGGGTTAGGAAGATGCCCTGGAGAAGGGAACGGCAACTCCAGTATTCCTGCCTGGAGAATCCCACGGACAGAGGAGCCTGGCAGGCGACAGTCCATGGGGTCGCAAAGAGTCGGACACGACTGAGCAACTGACACTTTCACTTTCTTTCAAACAAGCCTAGATCTAAGTTCTGGCTTCCAGGAGGGCCAGAGGACACAGTGAGAGCAAAGCTACGAGGAAACAATCAGATGCGGAATGTGTGATGTCGACAAGCCCACTGCCCTGCTCCCTGACAAACGTCACACTGTATTTCAACTCTACTTCAGATAAAAAAAGAATATTTTAAAAATGTCGCTTACAAAAGGAGAAGGGAGATGCTTCTAAATTTTAAAAGATTTAAGAGATAGAAACCAGTGCAATGCTTGATCCTAGAATGGATCCTGTTTTCAAAAACAAAACAAAACAGGGGGCTTCCCTTGGTGGCTCAGTGGTAAAGAATCTGCCTGCCTGATCCAGGGAGACCCCACATGCCTCGGAGTGAGCCTGTGCTCTAGAGCCTGGGAGCTGTAACCACTGAAGCCCGTGGGCCTGAGAGCCTGTGCTCAGCAAGGAGAGAAGCCACTGCAGTGAGATGCATCCCAACTAGATGCATCCCCTGGTCTCTGAAACCAGAGAAAAGCCTGCGCGGCAATGAAGACCCAGCGCAGCCAAAAAATAAATAAATAAAATTATTAAAAAATAAGACAAAACACAGCAACAAAAGAAAGTTGGAGAGCAAGGGAGAACAAATGACTATCGATTAAAAATCTGGGAACCATTAATTTTCCTAGATGGGATAATGGAATTGTCATTATGGAGGAGGCTATCCTTAAACCTTGGAGATACATGTTGAAGTATTTATGGGGTAAGTGAATATTTTACTATGTGTATAATTTACTATGAAATGGTTTAATATGACATATATGTTTGTGTGACACATATGACACACTAGTCACAACTATTTAATCTAGATGGTGAATTTATACAAATGTTATTCTAATTCTTCCCACTTTTCTGAACGTTTGAAATTTTTCATAATAAAAATTTTAAGAGAAAAAGAAGTGCAGAGATATATGATATTCATGGGTTGGCAGATTCAGTATTAGAAAACAATTTATTCTCTCCAAATTAATTTTTAGATTCAACATAATCTCAGTTGGGGTTTTTGTGTGTATGTGTGGAAATTAACAAACTCATTCTAAAATTCATATAGAAATCAAATGAATAGAATAGCCAAGGAACTCTTGAAGAACAAAGCTAGAGGTCTTATACAGCAAGACATTAACACTTATGATAAAGCCGAAGTACTTAAGACAGCCTGGTTTGGGTACAAGGGCAGAAATGCTGACCAGTGGAACAGAACAGACTCCAGAAACAGGCCTGACATGTATATGATCATGTGATTCAGGACAAAGGCAACATCACAGGGCCAAGGAGGAAGATGGTCTCTTCCTGATAAAACAATGCTGGATCCACTGGATACACAAATGGGGGGGAAATGGAACTGTTAGAAGGGCTTCCCAGGAGGTGCAGTAGTAAAGAATGCCTGCAATGTGGGAGACGCAGGTTTGATCCCTGGCTTAGGAAGATCCCCTGAAGAAGGGAATGGCTACCCGCTCAGGTATTCTTGCCTGGAAGATTCCATAGGCAGAGGGGCCTAGCCGGCTACAGTCCATGGGGTCACAAAGAGTTGGACATGACTGAGCACACGTATTACTGTAACCCTGCCTCCCACTTAATACAAACTCAATTCCAGATGGACTACAGTGCTCAATACAAAATGTTTTGGATTAAAAAATAAATAAATAAAGACATAACAGCTTCCTGACTCTGGAGTAGACAAAGACTTCTTAAATAAGACACAAAGGAACTGATCATAGAAGAACAATTTGATAAACAGCATTTTATCACAATTAAGAACTCCTGTCCATCTAAAGAGATTATTGAGAATGAAAATACGACCTTCAGAGTAGTAGAAGATATGTGCAGTATGTTTATCTGACAAAGGACAAAGGATGTGTATCCAGAGTCTATAAAGAAGTCCTATGAGTCAGTAAGAAAAAAATCAGACAACTGAATCTGAACGCGGACAAAAGATTCAAACAGGCATTTCATAAAAGAAGCTGTTCAAATGGCTAATAGACACATGAAAAAGTGCTCATACTCATTAGTCATCAGGGAAATGCAAATTAAAACCACAATATGCTACCAGTACATATGCACCAGAACGGCGAACATGAAAAAAAAAAAAAAATATATATATATATCTCTCAAGTGTTGGCAAAAATGTACAGCAACTCAAAATCTCATCTGACCACTTTAGACAACAGTTCTGCACTAACTACCAAAGCTCAGCATGTGCAGCCCAGCAGTCCCACTCAGAGGTGTTTTCCCAGCAGAAATGCACATGAGTTGAAGTGCACCAAAGCCAAGTGCAAGACTGTTCTTAGCAACAATTCTCAAAATAGCCAAAATCTGGAACAACTCAAACTCCCATCAATAGTAGAACAGAGAAAAAAAATTGTAGTATATTCATACAATGGCATTCTATGCAGCAGTGAGAATGAATGATCCTTATACACACAACAATATGAATGAATCTCACAAATGCGTAAGTGCACAAATGTTCACAAACAGGTAAAAGTAATCTATGGTGTTAAAAGTCAGGACCACAGATATCCTTGCGGGGGGAGGGGTGACAGCAATTGGAAAGGGAACAAGGGGGGCTCCACCACTGTTTCTTGGTTTGGGTGTGCTAATTAGATGTGTGTGTTCCAATTGTGAACCCTCAACAAACAGAACACTTATGAGTTGTACACTTTTGGCAAGCCCGTTATACTTTAGTAAAAGCCTAAGAAAAAGGAAAAAGAAAACAGAAAGTAACTTGTCCGAAGTCACATGGTGGATCTGCTGGCAAAACAGGGTGCTGAACCTAGATCAAAACCTACAGAGCTACCCAGGGAGCCTCTTGGTACTCCAGGCCAAGAGGACCAGTGTTCGCCAGAGCAGCGGCTCCTCCCCAGATGGAATTCCGAGTCACAGGGGTGCCTGGGATCCCCAGCCCTTGGCTATGTTTCCAGCCATCACTTCCACGGGATTGACTCCCAATAATATCTCTACTTCGGCTACTTGCTCCCAGTGACTACTTACTGAGTGCCTACCATGTGCCAGGCACTATTCCAGGCGCTTGGCATGTATCAATGAAGCAGATTCGTGTCTCACATTCTTAGCTACCAAAGAGACTTTTGCTAGGCTGTCTCTGCACCACCTCAACTGTGGCATGTTTAAAGTAGAACTAAGCATTGAAGCATCTCTTCCTTAGTAACGGCAGTATGGTCAAGGCAGAGGGTTTGAGGCTAACAGACATACTCTGAAACTCAGTTTTGCCACAGGCTGTGTGTGAGGTTGCAGTCAAATGAATTTTTCTCAGTTTTCTCATCTGTAAAATGGGAATAACAGGGAGAATGAGACATGAATCCTAGCTTCACCTCTTACTAGCTGGGTTTCTTCTGATGATGCCATTTGCGAGATGTGTGACAAGGCAGATCATTTAACCTCTCTGCCTCTGTTTCTGTGATCACTGAAAGGGAATAAGGGTACTTACCCCACAGGGCTATTGTGAGGATTAAATGAGTTAATGCACGTGAAGACGCACAAAGCAAATGCTTAAGAAGGGTACACAGGGGACATCCTTGGTGGTCCAGTGGTTAAGAATCCACCCTGTGATGCACGGGACACAGATTCATCCCTGGTTGGGGAACTAGACCCCACATGCCACAGAGCAACTAAGCCTGTGCACCACAACTGCTGAGCCTGCACGCCACCACCTAGAGAGTCCGTGCACCACAATGAAAGGTATCGCGTGATAGAACGAAGATCCCACGCACTGCAACTAAGACCCCATCCAGCCAAATAAAAATGAATTTAAAAAATGTGTGCACTGTTATTATCAGCTCATAGAACTACTGAGAGAAAGAAGGGAATGAGAACAGGTCACTGAGTGCTATTGTATGCTAAGCACTTTGCATATATTCTCCTCTTTAACGTCCCAGGAGGTGAAGTTATCATCTAATCTCCAGGTTACAGTTCAGGAGCCTTTCCAGTGAGGCTAGTGACTTGCCTAAGGCCACATAGTGGCAGAATCAAGATGTGAATCCAAGTTCCTGAAGCTAGGGCTTGAGGTCTTTTTGTAAATTTGCAAGTGTCACAATGAGTGTCATTCTTCCCTGCCTGGTTCCTTATTTCTGATGGCACAATTCAAGGGCTGAAAGGCACCTCGAAGAGCATGTAACACAGCCCCCGGCTCCCAGCAGATACCCGATGCCACTGCTCTCACTCCTTCAGCTTACAGATGAGAAAAAAGGCCCAGGGAGGTTAGGGGATTTGTCCGAGGTCACACAGCCAGTGAGTGACTGAGCCAGAGGAACCCAGTTTGGAGTTCCCCGTGCAGATCCTTCCTTCTCCTTCATCTGGGCCTGGCCAGTCACTAGGTCTGGTCAGGTTCTTTCTTCATCGCCCATTCCTCTCCACTCCCAACCCCTCTCCCAGCCCAGGCCCGTATTATCAAACAGCACCCCCAGAAGACTCCTGCTCCCAGTCC